GAGGTGCTGTGTTAAGGCAGCCACCACAAAAGGTGCCATTCAACAACAGGATCCAGTAAAGCTAACTTAGCTGGTCCCAAAAGAGAAGTCTAATTTTATATTTTTCCAACTGCTGACACAAATGCAAAGAAGGCAATTTCATTAAAATTTCATTAAAATTTAATTCTAAATCTATTGTAGAAATACATTCAACATAATCACACATATGTGGTACGATAACAAATAGATTATCTCATTATAATGTAATACCACTAACATAATGGTAATTGTATAATCAATCATGTGACATAAGATCAAGATCTGCCACCTCAGAGGCACCTCACTCCGACCCATGAGAAAAAGTGATAAGTTAATGAATTATTGCAAACACGGGGGATGGCAGACAAAGAGCGAGAGCAATGGATCGCAGTCACTTCTGCACCCCATCTGCAGTCAAAGAATCCCCCAAAAGATTGATTCATTGTTAACGCAGCCTGACACCCTGTGTGAGGAAGAAAGAAAGTGGTAGATAAAGGAACAGAGAATAGGGAACAGGGGGCTCCATTTGCTAAGAGAAGGGGCAGAGGCAGTTCACTGGACAGGTTCCCACAGTGGATGTTCCTCTGTTTGGAAAGCCACCACATACCATAGTCGAAATAGACAGGTAAGCTCATCCGCAGTTAACCTAGCTGCACACCATGTATAAAAACTGTACTATGCTCTAGTATATTATTTAAGAAAAACATACAGGACAGTTTTAAAATCCATTATGCAAAAAGACATCACAATATAGATGCCTGCAAGTACTGGCAGGGATAGCCTCAGGCAGAGAGCCCAACAACACACCTAAAAACACAACCAGTTCAGGGGAATGACTAACAGACAACTTTACATGAGTACAGGTGCTGGTCATAAAATTAGAATATCATGAAAAAGTAGATTGATTTCAGTAATTCCATTTAAAAAGTGAAACTTGTATATTATATTCATACATTACATACAAACTCATATATTTCAGATGTTTATTTTGTTTAATTTTGATGATTACAAATGACAACAAATGAAAATCTCAAATTCATCATATCAGAAAATTAGAATATTGTGAAAAGGTTCAAAATTGATGGCCCCTGGTGCCACACTCTAATCAGCTAATTAACTCAAACCACCTGCAAAAGCCTTTAAATGGTCTTTCAGTCTAGTTCTATAGGCTACACAATCATGGGGAAGACTGCTGACTTGACAGTTGTCCAAAAGACGACCATCGACACCTTGCACAAGGAGGGCAAGACACAAAAGGTCATCGCTAAAGAGGCTGGCTGTTCACAGAGCTCAGTGTCCAAGCACATTAATAGAGAGGCGAAGGGAAGGAAAAGATGTGGTCGAAAAAAGTGTACAAGCAAGAGAGATAACCGCACCCTGGAGAGGATTGTGAAACAAAACCCATTCAAAAATGTGGGGGAGATTCACAAAGACTGGACTGCAGCTGGAGTGAGTGCTTCAAGAACCACCACACACAGACGTATGAAAGACATGGGTTTCTGCTGTCGCATTCCTTGTGTCAAGCCACTCTTGAACCACAGACAGCGTCAGAAGCATCTTGCCTGGGCTAAAGAGAAACAGGACTGGACTGCTGGTGAGTGGTCCAAAGTCATGTTCTCTGATGAAAGTAAATTTTGCATTTCCTTTGGAAATCAAGGTCCCAGAGTCTGGAGGAAAAGAAGAGAGGCACTTCATCCACGTTGCTTGAAGTCCAGTGTAAAGTTTCCACAGTCAGTGATGGTTTGGGGTGCCATGTCATCTGCTGGTGTTGGTCCATTGTGTTTTCTGAGGTCCAGGGTCAACGCAGCCACATACCAGGAAGTTTTAGAGCACTTCATGCTTCCTGCAGCTGACCAACTTTTTGGAGATGCAGATTTCATTTTCCAACAGGACTTGGCACCTGCACACAGTGCCAAAGCTACCAGTACCTGGTTGAAGGACCATGGTATCCCTGTTCTTAATTGGCCAGCAAACTCTCCTGACCTTAACCCCATAGAAAATCTATGGGGTATTGTGAAGAAGAAGATGCAATACACCAGACCCAACAATTCAGAAGAGCTAAAAGCCACTATTAGAGCAACCTGGGCTATCATAACACCTGAGCAGTGCCACAGACTGATCGACTCCATGCCACGCCGCATTGCTGCAGTAATACAGGCCAAAGGAGGCCCAACTAAATACTGAGTGCTGTACATGCTCATACTTTTCATGTTCATACTTTTCAGTTGGCCAACATTTCTATAAATCCTTTGTTTTTATTGGTCTTCAGTAATATTCTAATTTTCTGATATGATGAATTTGAGATTTTCATTTGTTGTCATTTGTAATCATCAAAATTAAACCAAATAAACATCTGAAATATATGAGTTTGTATGTAATGTATGAATATAATATACAAGTTTCACTTTTTAAATGGAATTACTGAAATCAATCTACTTTTTCATGATATTCTAATTTTATGACCAGCACCTGTATGCTCTCCAAGAATGCCTTCGTACAACCTCAGCCTTACACCTTGTTAAGCACATAGCGAGCAAACAAGGACTGTCCCTCTCGCTGTCGCTGTTCAACCCCCTTTAGACTGTAATAAATCTGCAGACCACAGCCTTTGTCTCACATTTTTAATCAACAACGAAAACCAACATCTAATCATGCGATGGGCCATTACAATCATGGACGACTAATCTCACCGCAGCAAACAAATAACAGATGCAAGGATTTCACAGAAAAGCCACTCTGAACAGATCAAGCTGGGCTGTCGCAATAAGAGTACAGTAAAAACAAGGCGGAGGGACGTATAACCAGTCACCAGATTAGCATTAAAATAAATGGCTGTGACATCCTCTTAAAAAAAAAAAAAAAGAAAAACAGCTTCTTTGCTTGTAACAGGTTTCATAATCCCAGTCGATATCTTTGAGACCCTGACTTGTTCTCAATTTTACTCGTTAGAAGCATAAAATCAACCTTTTAGTCTGACGATGGCGTGTTTGGCTTTTATATAGGAAGGAGAAATCCACAGATCAGACTAAGACTCTTTATGTTACCGAGTATCTCGTCAACTGATCTGGTAAGTGAGCACATGACTTACATCCTTTTGAAGGCTACAATTTCTCACTCTAAAATGCAGTGACTTTTATTCCACACATGATTTTGGTGAAATTCACCCATCATTTTTTAAATCAAAATGTTTACTTTTGACATTAAACACTACAACTTAACCCATAACTCTGGAAACTCAACCTTTGTCAAGTTACATCAGGTTTAATTAATCTACTGTCAGTCCAATAATTTGTTTTCCACCACAGGTTCTGTCCTACGAGGAATATGCATTAATAACGTTTACTTTAGATGTTGGTAACTGATTTAAACCCAGCACTGATATTACTGAAAGCATGCATAAACACTTTATAGAGTTCCCTCCCAATCTGTGGTTGTCATTTTGTGCTAATCACTGGTGTGCTGGTTGATCCCCCCCCACCCAAAAAAACTGATTTTAATTTTTATTTTTTTTTTTTACTGCAGGCTGTGGTTTTAAAAATTGTGATCAATTATGTAAAAATCCAAGGATGTAATCTATAATTTAATTTTTTTCCCAGCCCATAGTTTCTTTCCCATCCAACAAATTAGAAACAAAGTAAACATAATCATTTTCCAAATTTTGGCTAAACAACAACGTGTTGGAGTTACTTGAGAGACCAGCAGCCATTCAACAACAGGATCCAGTAAAGCTAACTTTGCTCTAATTTTCTATTTCGGTTTTAAAAATGGTGATCAATTATATTAAAATCACAGGATGTTATCTTTAATTTGATTTCTTTTTCCATTCTTTTCAATTGTTATTGCTCAAGCACTTCAGCAATTTATAAACAGAGATGTTGCCCTAGCCTATAGTTTGACCGATCCAATGAATAAGAAACAGTGTAAACATCAGCATTTTCCATGTGATCACTTGACATTGAGAACATTTTGGCTAAACACCGTGTTGAAGTTAATTGAGAATGCAGAGAATAATAAAAAAAACATTAAAATAAAAAATACATTTTAAAATTGTATGCTTTTCTGGTGCACCTTTTATGCATGTGAATCAGTAAAGATAGGAGGCATGTCTCATATGTGTCAAATGCAAATGTTCAGATAGGATAAAAAAAAAAAAAACATCTGTTTATAATGGTAAACATATACAGGTATCAAACTGAGACTTTCCATATGTAAACAACTACAAAATTTAATTACAGCTCAATTTTCCCCTTATTAACAAGGTAAAACTTAAACATTCTCTGAAATATAGAGGGAAACTTATGCTTAGAAAAAAATATACATTTCTTTATTCGGTTTGCAACATAAAGGAAAACCCATTTCTCCAGAATTTCCCAAATAAAGTGTAACATGATGCTGGTAAGGCTTTAAAGTCTAGCGGGGCGTCCTGTGGAGGGAAACAGATGATTCCACTATAGCAGCAGATTTACTACAACTGATCCCCAAACCTACAGAGCTGTGCTGCTTTCAATGAATGAGGTCAACTCCACTGTAGAATGTGTTACAAAGCGCACATCCTTAGTAAATAAGGTTGTTTAAGTAGGTTTTAGCAGGGTTGAGTGTACGAAGGATGACTACTGCAGCCCAGCGAATCAAAGTCAACGTCTCGTAAAACTTTGTCGCTAGCGGAAAATAATAAAAAAAAACAGCAATAATCACGCAAACCAATACCAACTAAAACTACCAACTCCACTGCGGTGTTTATTACAATCATATTCGCGGCTCGAGACGTTTTAATATCGCGGCTAAAATCCCACAACACATTTCCAGCGTTAACCGTTTTAACACGGTAGCTTAAAAACCACAGCCTGCTCGGAAGCGAAGCAGCACCATCTGATTCTGCAACAACAACCAAAATATTCATATAGAAAAACAGCAATGCCGGTGTCCAGGTCTTAATTGCGACCAAAACAGCCACCCGCTTTTTTGGGAGGGAAGAAACTTACCGGCTTCGACGCTTTCATTGACTGCAGCAGCTTTTTTTTTAAAGCCTCTACAAACTCTCCGCCATCTTCGGCAATACCGTGTTTGTTTAAATGGGAAACACTCCCAGAGCGGAGGGAGACAGCTTGTAGAGGAGCGAAGTGCCTTCTGGGTAATGTAGTTATGTTCCTCGTTGAGCTACATTAAACAGTTTGACACGTTCTGAAAATGAACTACACGTACACTAGAACCCTTTAGGTAATACGACTAGTAGTCACTGATATTATTTGGAGAGAGAGACTTCAAATGTTATTTATAGACACAAAAAGCACAGATTTATTTATTTTTTTCATATTTTTTTTTTACATTTAATTACAATTTTGATGTAAATACTATTTGTTATACAATGTGTTATATAAATATTATATGTATTTACATATTTTATTTATTATACTATTTTCTTAACTCTTTATCAAAGTACTTCTTTTACATATTTTTTTGTATAATAACGATTTAAAAACTAATCTAGGATGGTAATACACATATTGAGTAAGACAAGAAATGTAGACGAAGTGGGGATTTTATGTGGCACAGCTGAAACTGTTTTCTTGTGAATGTTCAGGAAAACATCATGAAAAATGTTTTTTGGATTTATTTACAATAAAGATCTGAAAATTTGATCCATCCATCTTGTGCTGCTCTGAGGGTTACAGGGGCTGGTGCCTATCTACAGCAGTCTATGGGTGAAAGAAATTAAATACATAGACATACAACCATGCACAAACACACTCTAGACTTAGATTAAGAAAAACTTTATTGTCATTGTGTATACAGGGTAGCCTATATACAAAATTAAATTTCGATACATACAGCTTCTCAACAATGAATGAGCCACTCAGCATTGAAAATGAACATTTCCATTTATAAAGTGCAGCAGTGATCAAAATGTAAACAGTGTAGGAGAGACGTGGCGCAAAAGGCATTGATGTGGAAGGTTCAGAGTAGTGCAAAAATAAATAAATAGATATGGATCAATATGCAGAAGAAACACTGAGTTGAGTTGTATTTAAATGGATTTGAAGATTCGTTCTTAAGAGCCATTTATAGATGCCAATCCACCAAACATCCATGTTTTTGAGAGGAAGCCAGAGTACCCAGAAAGAACCCTTGCATGTACAGGAAGGACATGAAAACTCCATGCAGAAATATATCAGGACCTTCTTGCAGGGCAACAGTACTAAAAACTGTTCTAGCACGCAGCCCTACTGAATGAATACTCTGAACATTGTATCTGTTAAATCTGTTTCATGGGATTTCTTTAGTGACTTTTCAAATGGTTATAAATTTAGGTGAAGGTTCTTAGTCATCCAGGTTATTGTCATTCCAACAAAATTAAAAACAAGTCACTGAACTTGGTTTCCAAGTTTGAAGACGTTTCGCTTCCCATCCAGTAAGCTTTTTCATTTTGAATTGAAAAAGCTTCCTAAATGGGAAGTGAAACCAAGTCTAGTTGATTGTTTTTAATTTTTTTGGAACATATGCTGCTCCGTTTTGATCTGCTTGTACTACACAATTTTATATTTTACTGCTGCAGAGGGCGTCTGCAGTGGGTCTCTGCCATTTTTCCTTGCAGGGTTCGGGAGACTGCAGGTGTTATGTTTTGCCCTGATTGGTGCTCTGTTCCTCTAAAGCTGCTATGCATGCAGCAGAGAGGAAGACTTTTTCCCCTCTCTCCTCAGAACCCCATTTGGTTGGGTTTGGTTTTGTTAAGTCTGTCTTGTTTTAATTCTGGTTAGTCTTTGCATTGATCTATTTTGGTTTCTTATTTCTGATATTGTCTTTTCAGTTTTTCATTTCTTTAAGATAATTTAATAAATTAAAATTTCATTTAATCAAAAAAATCCTTGTGTGGTCTCCTTTAATGTTACCCCACCAAGCAAGCCTGCAACAAAAATGGTTTCAATTTGTTATGCTACCTAGAAATCGGCCATAACAACTTTTACCTCATGCCAAAACACACATACACACATTACACATAAACTTCAAGTAGACTTGGATGATAAAAGAAACTTTCTTGGGGTTATCTGTCAAGCAGGGTAGTTTGCAACTGTAAGTGAGGAGAGAGTGACGGCCAAGGTTGGCCTGAGATCAACAGGACAAGTGTGAGGTTAAAGGCCTTGGGTGGGGTTGGGGTGATGTTCTTTAGTTGCTCTCGGCTGTGAGGAGAAACTTCTGTCTGCTGTTTTACGATTAAAATGGAGGTTAATTGTGAATTTATAAAAATGAAATGTGGATACCACAAAATGAAAGTAAAGTTTATTACAAATTCTCAGGAAAAAAAAGTAACATCATTCAGGTATGTCCTTGTTGCTCAAAACAGGGCTTTTAATTCTTAAGTTAATAAAGTCCTCAATTACATAAATGTTATAGCAGCTTTGTAGGTCTGACTGAGAGGAGAGACTACATTCCAATCAGTCCCATGGAGTCTGTTTGCGCCCCTTCCCCCACTAAACACGCTAACCTACACCCCCCACCCCCCTTAGTGTGAGATATTTTATCCCATTGGAAGGGACAAGTAGGGGGGGAGCTCCCTGCCACTTACCACACTTTGAAAGGACAGGAGATAACAGTTTGAAAGGACAGGAGATAGCCCCATTATCATTAATGTATTCAGACTGGTTTACCTGCAAACAGCCAGCAGCAAGGCTTTCTATCCACCCTCACCCCTCTTCTCAGACATCATTCAAAGCAGCATTTTAATTGACAAGTACTTTTTTTATTTAATTAAGTTCAGTTAAATAATTATTTATTAATCCTAAAGGGAAATTAAACGTTGTTCTAACTCTGTGTTGAAAATACTCCAGAAAACAAAACCACTACTGTTTTATACAACACATAAATATTTTGACCGAAGAAGAAAAAAAAAGGAACTGAACGTGGCTGAGTTTTTCAGCAGGGGAGTGAGACCGTAGCTCGTGCGCCATCTTGTGGTGATCTGAGCTCATTACCATACAGCCATTAGTGTCTGGTTTGGAGGGCAGCGGATCACTCTAGACACCGAACGGAATTTCTACTGTGGGAAAAATGATGAGTGCCTTATCACTGTAATACATTTCGTCTGTAAGGTGAAGATATATTCTTTTTATTTCTTAGTAAAATGTAGTCAACGCATTTTCGAGAAGTTAGTCAGGTTAGGGCTCGTGATGATTTGCACACGAGCGTGAGGCTGTAAAGTGGACAGAAAAATTATCCCTTTGAAATATTATCTTTATATAAGAAGTAAATAACTGTTTAAATTGAAATGTTCACCCTTTTAGTTATGGGTGATACAAAAAAAAATGTGGTTGGCATTTATAGGTTGCATCCAAGGACACAATGTAGAATAAATGTGCTACAAATCTAACCTATCTAATCATATATTTCTAAGATGTCACTTTATTTTGGTTAATTTTTGTTGGATTCTCTGGATTTTCTGTTTATGAGAACATTTCAGTGATTCAGAAAACAAAAGGAAATATTTGCATTCACAGTTTGTGACAATTATTTCTAAAACAATAAAAAAAAAATTTTAATTGAATATAATAGTTTAATTGAATATAATTGTATGATACCATTGTATTGCAACAGTTATGATTATTATATTATTTTACCACCAGATATAGCTTAATTTTACATGGAATGGATTTCACATTTGGTTTTGTTTTTTTGCTGATTAAGACAAATGAAGAAATGTTGCAGCTGCAGCAAATTAGCTGGATGGATGAACATTTATGATATCACTCCTGTTTCACTGCATTTTAGAGTTCATCTACTGAAGAAATCACTTTGACATGATTTGAGTTCTGTGATTATGGATGCGCTACAGGTCAGGAAGTGAATAACTGATGGATGTTGTCAGTAACATTGCTCTTGCAGGTTGTTAAGTTTGAGAAATGGTAATATTGGCCCCAAAATGTGCCAAGAAAATATCCTTCTCAACATTGCACCAACAGAAGCAAACTAAGTTGTTAATAGAAGGAAATATGGTCTCACGCTTTTAATGTTTGTTATCCAGGATCTACCTAAATGTTGCAGCTGAAATCAAAGCTGGGTGAAACTGCGAAACGTTTCTAATCTGGCATCATCTAGTTTTTGTCTGTAACGGCTAACATGGGTAACCAATGTGGACGTAAACTTCAGGAAGTCTTTACATCCTCAAATGCATCATGATGCTGCCTTGCTGATAAAGGGGCCAGCGAGTGTACGTATGAGCTGAGGAGATAAGTATGGTGTGTAGAAATCCATCTTAGACTTGTCTTTATATATTGATAAAACACTTTATAGTAGAGTATTTAGTTTCTTTACCTTTTAATTATTCACTTTTTTATTCTTACACCTTTTTCTAAGGTTCACATTTGTGCTACCATATTTTCTATAATCTTTTTGCTGCTGTAAACACCAAATTTTCCCCATTGTGGGACAATAAACTTATTTGATATTCTATTCTATTCTATTCCAATATCAGTCAGGTTTCAAACTGAATATAAATATCTGAACATTTAGGATAAGTGCACTAAAGAAAGAGCAGCCTGATTTTACATTTTGACAAATATATCTTAAAAAAGTAGAAACATAGATTAAATCTAGATATTCTGAAGTATACTAAGGATTGTTAATACTGTCTGCTGTATGATGTTAAACAAGTGAATATTAAACAGAAAGAAAGACAGGAGCAGTACACCCTTGGAGAAAAACTGTGATCAGTGTTTGGTGGAGAAGGAGGGGTTGCATGATGAGTTTCTATGGCTTAGTTTGAGTTCAGTAATCTTATGAAGTCAGTTTAGAAGCTGTTGAGAAACCTGGCTGCTGTGCTTTGCAGGCTATGGGGTGTCTTCCCAGATCCTAGAGCTGGAAACAGGCTGTGGTGTGGGTTTCCATGGTGATGTTTTAGGATCTGGTCATGCAGAGTTTTTCCTGTTTGTCTTTCACTATTCTACATGAAGGTTAATTTGCATCAATATTTTTTCTGCTCTCCTCACCACTCACAGCAGGACCTTACAGTCAGAGACATAATATTACAGAGATGCAACTGGTCAGAAAGTGTTAGATGCCCCTTCCTCCTCTGGCTCAATATGCTCACGCTGCTTAGCTTTCCTTGCCAGAACTTTTACGTGATGGATCG